ACCCCCCACCCCCCCCCACCCCCCCGTTGCAGAGGTGAGCGTCAAACATGCCTCCCCTGCTGCCGGGTAGACGTCCGCCCAGGGAGGGTGAGGAGCCACCACCTGGCTCTTACCTCCCTGGGGACGCAACACTACCCTCCCCTCCCATGGAAGGTAATAAGCGCTTGCCTCCTGGCTGACTCTGGCTAGGGGACGACGCCGTAGGGCGTTGTGTTTTCTGTGCTTGAGGTGCCCTCCGTTTGCCCATGGCAGGACCAACTGGCTAGCGGATTTGATCTGAACCCTCTGGTTCATTGCACGTTGAAGCTCCGAGACTGTACCCACCATTCCCTGAACAAAGATGGTGGAGGATGTCCAGTCTGCGTCACTGAGGTGGGGACGTACCCTGGCTCAGCTTGTCAGCAAAAACATGTGCATCTAAGGCTGCGTCTCGTAGCACGGTAGTGGCCCTGGCCAAGAGAGCCAGGCGACACTAGGGGGTGTCACATGTAGATGTGCGGGGGCCCACCAGTAAAAATGTCGCCTGGTCTAGGAGGCTGGTGCGTTCTGCTTCCAAGGTGTCCCGAGTGCTGGTCATGCATAATAATGTGCTCAAGCAACTCTACCCTCAGGGCTGGATGGGTCGTCTTCAATTGACAAAGACACCCATGGAAGGTGGCTATCCCTATCCCCCTTTGCCCAGTTTGCCAAATTCGTGGTACCGGGGTCTGGGGAAGGAGCCTTGGAATCCGGTTGGGGGCGTTTTGGTCTCATCCCACGCTATGGGGTCTGATCCCGAAACCACACCGACTGGATAGCGTTTGGTCCAGTGGGAAGTGTTGCCTAATGTTATCCCCACCCGGGGCCCTTAAGCATTACATCCTCCGCAGCTGACCAACGCCGCCCATCAACACCGTTTGCGTGCTCTGCGCCCCACTCCACACTCAGGCGGACAGGGAGAGACTTGCTGATGGGGTTGCTTTGGATCCCGACGCCCGTGATCCCATAAGCGTTGAAGCAACCGTAGGTGGTCACTTTAAGATCAAGGGTGGGGGTATATACATTGTATCACTGGGATCGATGATACTCCGCCTCACCCCAAAAGCGTGGCTCACCGAGTCATACAGATGGAAGACTCTGAGGCACCGCCCGGAGTACCTGATGTATCCGACACGAGCGAACTGCATCTCCTTTCACTTTAAATATGTGAGAGGGAGCGTGTTCGACTGTGCGTCTCATGACAGGGTCGGTTCCCTCTGGGGACGCCCATGGGTCGGTAAGAAAGGAGTCAAAACCCACAGCGGGAACCGGACACAAGGAAAAATTCGTTACTGTTTTAGCTGGCTGAAAGTAGGGGGGTCAACGTGTGCCCTGCCCGCAACGGGCCCCATAGTAGGAAAGCCTCCAGGGGCACAGCCTCGCTGCAGCCGGTAAAATTGGGTAAAACACCGCCTGAAAAAACAGACTGTGAGGATGCCCTCCGATCAGCGGGGGAGACCGAGAAAAATATCGGTACCTCCGTCGTCTGGCCTCTTACTCAAGGTCCCGGTACATGAAGTACCGGTAGCCGAGCGTGAGGACTTTCCACTCATGCAAAACACGCAACTCACTTTAACGGATTTGTTTACTGGACGCGCGACCTTGCTGTGACGCGGTCAGTCTCAGTGATTTTGATGGCTATGAAAGAAAATCTCAGGCCTCAGAACTCCAGTGAAAAAAACACGCTTTCACGCAAAAACCCCAAAACCCGCACGTAGCTATGACAAAATATCTTGGATGCGGGTTCTATGCTGGTAAATTCTGAATATAACTACTGCACGGTCGACTCGAAACACGAGGAGACCGGAAAGAAAACGGCAGCGAGCCCTAGTGCTGTCATTACATCTATATATTGCTAAATACATTGAAAATAAAAGACGACATGCATGAGGGAAACAAATTACAGTTGTAAAAGGTGCCGCCATGAAAACCAACTGGTTACGTAGTGGCGCCGGATTTTAATTTCTTTGTTGAGAAAAAAATACTACACACAAAGAGGAAAACGACACAAGGGTAAAAATGACAAGAAAAACTTATGCTACCACCTACAATGTCGGATGCCGTGCAGCGGCAACCACCCAAGCTATAAATCCGGACAGGAAAAAAAAAGCAGGCGATCCAGCAGAGCTCGCTAGATTTCATCTCCACTCGAGGCGGAGAGAAAATAAGAGTGATGGACGGCTACCTGTGGCGCTGCCAGGTGGCCCCGGTCATGTGGGTTCGTGACGTAAGGGGTAAAAGAATCGTGAGGTCATGGGGCTTCCCCTGACCTGGATTCTATCTCTCCGTCACCAGCAGAATCGCTGATTAATGCCTACAGTTCAAAATAGTCATTTTGACTGACCGGAGTCTATGGTGGGTAATTGAACGTAGTGAATTGGATTATAATGAATACAATGTAAAACAAACAAAAACACAAACAAGAAAAGGTAAGGCTAAGCTGATGAAAAAAAAAACGGTTAGAAAAAAATTAAAGATACAGGCTTAAAAATGTGTAAGGTTGTCACGTGATTAGTATCTAAGGGACAAAGCTGTCTGGATTCATAATAGATTTCCATATAAAGAAATTGACATGTATTCTGCATTGCATAGGATAAATGCATTTCAAGTGATATCAATTCATGCATACTGACTTGACAGGACAGCCACATGAATAAATATAAACACCAATGACTAGATACATAAAAATATGTTTATGAAAAAAATTAATCGAATCAATAACAGATAAACTCATTAGTTCAGTGATTTTTCTTTAACCTACCATTGGTGATGGTACCATTCTGACTCTACTCTGATTTGGGTTAGCTTGCCGACTTACACGAGGATTGACGATAGCAAACACACGACACCTATTGATGAAACAGAACTACCGTAGTTCAGTTACAAAATAGATGACCAGTTTAAATCAGATCTTTTGTGGTGTGTGGATAAAAGTACTTTCATGTGAAATATACTATACTATAATATGAACTTCCAGAAACATTTTCAGAATGATTAACCCTCTCATAGAAGTGCCAGCAGAATAGAGAATCTGACAGCTAGTGTATAGTTTTTAAAAAAATATCATAATTGGGAACACCACACCACATTCAAGGTAGAATTTACAATTGTCCTAAATGGTAGGAATATATATAGCTAGAACAGTATTCAGAGGGAAGTCCAAGTTCTAGTGTCAAAAATGCTACAGCAAGTCTCAGAAGTATTGGGGCAGCCAATTTGCAAACTCGCTAGCAAATTGGCTAACTGCTTTGGTTTTTACTAAACAGTTGGCTTTCGAATCTCAGTCTTGTTGTTAATTGGCTGCCACAATACTTCTGAGACTTGCTGTAAATTTATCTTAAAATGCCTATAATAATTTGAAAGGACACCAAGTCAGTCAGATATGGAAATCATAGCTAATATGGTCATCAAGGACTCTGTGGTGTCACTATTGTACAATTCTGCAAGAAGGATCCTTTTGATAATACAATTACAATCTAAAAACAAAGTCAACTCCACCTGGCCCAGTATCCTCTCCATGCTCTTTGTATTTCAATAGCAGCTGCACTTCTAACTTCACTACTACCATCACCTTGTTCTATCAGGGTTCTTCTTAAAGACTTTGGAGCAGCAGCAAGTTTGATGTCACGCAGAGTAGTAGAGCTGGCTGGAGTGTCTGATTTTTTGATTATAAAAAACAAAATAGTTTTAAGTCTAAATATTGTTGAGCAGATGAATGGAATAGAATAGGTGTAAATCTAACAAATCAAATGATAATAGAAAACTGAGAACGTATATAAAGTTTAAAGACTCGTACACTTTTGAACCATATTTGCTCTTATGTAATCTGAAACATAAAATCTTATGGACTCGTTTCAGAATAAGCAGTCATGTATTAGAAATTGAGAAGGGTAGACATACCCAACCCAAAATACCTTTAGAAGACAGAATCTGTAAGCAATGTTCCCAGATCAAAATTGAAAATCAAGAACATTTCTTCATGGAATGTCTTAGATACCAAACAGAAAGACAAAAGCTATTTAATAATATCAATATTTCAGAAGAATTGAAAAGTGATAACCAGATATTTAAATATACTATGAGTTCAAGAGAAGACGTACTAATAAGACAAGTTGATGAATACTTATACAAAATATTCGAAATCAGAAATAACAATAACTGACATTTTACTTTTACTTTAGTTTTATATGTATTGTACTTTATTACTAGCATTTTATTGCTGTTCAACCAATGGAAATTATTTCTAAGGATGCAATAAATTCATTATTATTATTATTATATATATAATTCATCCCAACTTCAAAAACAGGTAGGGTAGGTCTAATTTTAATCATTAGTACCGGTACTAGCTTGTTGAATACGCTTGTATAATGATGTTTACAATAAAGTAATTCCAATTTGCTCTAAATTCTGGATAATAAATTTAATTTCAATTAAGTCTCATTGAAATCTTATGTGATTTTGTATCATTTTTAATGTTTGGCCAAAAAGTATAGATTAGGCAAAAGAATTGCGCCATATTTTTTTTTTTAATTTGACATTACATAAAATTAATCCGCTCACAGTTTTGGGTTGAAGTATCTATCATCTAGCCACAGTGATGGAAGTGTGATACTCATATATATACACCTAAAATGAACACAGGTTATGTTTATTGAGTTTTTTTCCCATCCATTCAATGTTACGCCAAAATTATATTATATACGACCACGGCTAGTGCAACACTCTTGATTTGCTGTTCCCTAGAAGTAGATGCCTAGATTTGGTATTTCTGGTGATATATTTTAATAAAAAGCACAAAACAAATCAAATTATAATAACCTCCATTTAAAATGTTTGGATATTGAAATTAACCCAGTTAAAAATTAGTCTTATATGAAGAAGAGTAAGATTGTAAGTTGATAGAATTACTAAGAGGTAATTGCAGTGCATGGAGCATACAGCTGCTCCCTGTGTTTACAACTTCCTTGGGGAACCCGGGTCTAGATTCTCTGTACAAGATCAAACATAGTGAATGACGTCATCACTCACCTGAAGGAAACTGCACTGAATCAAGAATACTCTGAGCATCTTTGCGTGACAACATGTTGTTATTATTCCACAAACTTTACTTCAAATTACTAGGTTGTTAATACATCTTGCTACCGGTCGGTGTTTCTCAGGAGATTTATTTCTCCGAACAAGAAATTTGACGGTCGATTCAAATGAAATAGATTGCGAACGACTCACCCAGCAAACAATGACGGTGGTTTAATTCCGACACGCGTGTTTGTTGTCAGGCTGAAACGAAGTACATCAAAGCATTAGGTGGCATTATACAACTGTATTTGAATTCGTGGTCGATGTTTACAGTTGCACAACTCCGACTACATGCCTCGATCGTCGTGTTTCTAAGGTAAACAATCACACAGTTATGGCGTTTACATCGATCTACTGTGCAGTAATAACGTTATAGCACAATTACCTACAATAAATGTCATCGTACCTGTAGAATATATCACATACCTTCAACAAAAATATAATAGAGTCGTGAATAATATACAAATAATAATTCGCCTACAGATTGTTAATCGGCCAAACTCACGAACAAAATGTCGCCCGAAGAGCGCCACCAAGTGACGTCACAAATTCCAATAACGACTAGTGCGCATGCCCAACGGAATCGACGTAAATTAGATGTTTGGGTTCCCGTTGCGGGACTGTGGTTATGGTTGGGTAGGATACGGTTTTTCACCACAATTAATTAGATTTCCATACACGATAATGTTAGCGTTTGGGTGAATTTATCCAAAAAAAGTTGCAGGAATCAAAATTTTGTTTTAATTTGCTGAAACCGCATGTGTGTATTACAATTATCGCCAGATAAACACATGTTCACCAGTACTATCATAATTCAGATTCCCCCTCACCTGTAACCATTGTCTATTCTCGTCCATCATATGTCAGATTCTTCTTATCCATAACGATTATTCCTATGTCAGAGTCACTTATACTCGAGAAAGTTGTTGGCATAATTTTGAGCCTATGCACGTAACACTGTTTCATCATCGCTGTCTCTATCCGCAACATGATGATGACATGTTCCAGGGTCCCCATGGCTATTTCATTCATTCAACGGGTTATCCTTATTAACGAACTAAAACGTAGTGGTTTTATTTTACACAATGGTAAGGAGGTGGGCCCAAAACTGTGATGTAGTGAAATAAATATATTTCTAAAAGATGCATGCAAATGGGATGTCTAGTTTCGTACTCAGTCACGTGACAAGAGTCGTTTTTTTTTGTTGTTTTTTTATATAATTTAAAGATTAAGCCGGCTAACATCGTATTTTATTCTACATTCACGTCCACAAAAACATATATATTTTGATGCATATACTTTTATAAAGCCAACTATTTTAATTTGAGATCAGTCTCATTCTAATCCAACCGATAAGATTGGGTTGGGTTGGCTAGGCAAGCTCCCGGGTTTCCATTCCGCTTTGAAATGCTCGAACATCAATCAAACGGAAATCAAAGAGCCGAAATCACTACAAGAGCACATGGCAACAATTACGATTCAGTACGTCCTACTACTCTGAACTGCTTTGAGCCGTGCACGTCCATGGATAATGTTTGTATATGTCAAAATATCGTGGGTCACATATTTACCGTGGCTCATCAAAAGTTGCTACAAGATACCAGTACCAGTACCCCCAATTAGTATACAGTAGGTCAGATTATACTGAATATTCATCAATATACAACAATACGCCTGAAATTACGAGCACATGCCATATTGTATGTCATATTCGCAGTTTTAACTATTACAAGATTCGCTCTTCAACTTATTTGTGTATTCGGTCATTTTTGTGGTTGCTCTTTTATTTTGTGATTATGATTTTAGTTTAGAAATAAGTAGCAGTTTGAATACCTTGAACAAATTGTACCATTAATTGTGCATTCTATCGGCATAAAGGTGAGTTTTTTTATTCGGCATAATATTTCCACACAGGGATATTCTCGAAAAGATTTGAATGTGGCATATAGCTACCTCCCTTGTTGGGTAAGTTCATATCACACTGTGCTATGAAAATGTGCGAATAACCTGTTGGATAAGGTTGTGAACAAGTGGCGGATATTTGAATTCATTGTGCGGATACAATTGCGGGCGGGTATCTTATTAGACGGATAAAAGTGTCGGATATCTTGATTTGGCGGATAAAAATGGTGGATATCTTGATTTGGCGAATAAAAGTCGCGGATATCTTGATTTGGCGAATAAAAGTGGCGGATATATTGATCTGGCGGATAAAAGTGGCGGATATCTTGATTTGGCGGATAAAAGTGGCGGATATCTTGATTTGGCAGATGCAAGTGACGGTAGCAGATAGCTTAACACTGGCTGGACGGCATGCAGATATGTGAACACGAGTGTATAAGCCAAATATGGAAATAATTTACCGGGCTGACCCCCAGGCCTGTTGCTTCAGCACTGAAACTATGCGATGAATCATAAATTGCAGACATATTTTTTTACACGTTTTTTTTATGTCTCAGAAAATTTACTATATTTTTAGTGGGTTCATAAAAGGAGTTGTAGTCATTGAAGTCTATTGAGACCGCTGCTAAACTGCCACTGTATGCATATTATTTTACCGCCCTCTAAAAACAGATTTACAATGAACCAAATATATTTACATACTGTAAGAAACTTGGTAGTATGCCATTGGTTAGTGCATTATGGTAGCGATATGGGGGTACGTAAATTCGGAAATGGAGAGGGTACAGATAACATTTTGCAGATATCTACCCGGTACTTAACATTAATAGTTGTACAAAAATGTAGCGATGTTAGACGAATGTGGAAAGCTGCCATTGTGCTGTGGTTATTTCAAGCGTTGTATCTCATATTGGTTAAAATTACTGAAACCCCAAAACATGTTGTATCATGCTTAAACGATTAGACAAGACCGGCAGACTTGCTTGGGAAACCCACATAAAAATCTCCTGTTCAAATATGGTTTCGGCATTGTCTGGTTTGAAAAACAAGTTGGAGATACTGCAAATTTCTTAGGGATATTTACTCTAAGAATAAAAAAATAGTGGCATGCCTCAATTTCACAATCATCCAGGCTGTGTACTTTTGGAAAAATCAAAGTAGTATTATAACCTGGGAGATTCATTGGCAAGCAATTATAGACTAAAATATATACTGACGAGTTTTCGCTGTTTTGGCCATAAACATAATGTTGAATTAGGCCATTGAACTATATAGTTCCATGATTAGGCAGACCCCAAAAATACAGTTAGATCAATAATTCTTTAGTTTTTGCAGTGATACGTTCGAATTTAGCATGGTAGAAAATGAAATTCACTTTGTTTTTAGATGTCCATTTTATAATGATCTAAGGGCTTCTTAGGGATATTTACTCAAAAAATAAAAAAAATAGTGGCATGCCTCAATTTCACAATCATCCAGGCTGTGTACTTTTGGAAAAATCAAAGTAGTATTATAACCTGGGAGATTTATTGGCAAGCAATTATAGACTAAAATATATACTGACGAGTTTTCGCTGTTTTGGCCATAAACATAATGTTGAATTAGGCCATTGAACTATATAGTTCCATGATTAGGCAGACCCAAAAAAATACAGTTAGATCAATAATTCTTTAGTTTTTGCAGTGATACGTTCGAATTTAGCATGGTAGAAAATGAAATTCACTTTGTTTTTAGATGTCCATTTTATAATGATCTAAGGGCTGATCTTTTGTCAATAACCCTATGCAATTATGCAAATACTGACAGTCTGGGTTTACTTCGTCGCTACACAAACTGCCACACCATATATCAAATAGCTCTATATCTTTTAAAAGTTTTCAAGCGACGAGATGAATATGAATTCAGCTTAACTTAGTACCATATGTTTACATGGAT